TAAAAATTACAAGTTAAAAATTACAAATTTTTTTGCAAAAACATCTTTTTTTTAAAATCGCGAAATATAATAATTTTTTTTAATATGAAATTTGTTAAAAATTTTAATACCAAAAATATGTAAATACTTTCTATAAACATTAAAGTTAATCCATGAATTTTTTCAGAATTTGAGCATAAATATTTTAAAAGATACAGTTGTTTGAAAATTGTCATGGGTGGCAACCACCCAGTGTGTATGCGAAGGTTGAAAAAATAAGTGTGTATACGAAGAGTTAAATTTTATTTCAGAATAATTCATTTTTATAAAAAATGTGTCTCTGTCTCTCACTCTTTCCCTCTCTCTCTTATTATTTATTCCTTATATATTTATTTATTTATTATTGTATTTTCTTTATTTATATTATCATATTTAATTTTATTATATTTTATTATTTATTTCTTATTATTTATTTATTATTTATATTCCGACATCTACAATATATTTAATAAATTACGAGTCGGTAAGCCGGTAATCGTAATATACAGGATGTCTCACACTCTCCTCCGGGCATTTTGTGGGCTCGAGTCACAGTGCGGCCCAGTAATATAGCGCGCGGATGTCGCGCGCGATGATTGGAAGACAATGCACCACTGTCTATATGTATACCGCTGCGCTCCTACGTCTTGCCGCACCGCGCCGAGATAAGAATAGGCAGTGGTGCATTATCTTCCAATCACCGCCCGCGACATTCGCGCGCTTTATTACTGGGCCGCGCTGTGACTCGAGCGGTCCGTTCTCTATCATTCAGCGTGCGTTTTTCCTTAATCTTTTTTAATTAATATCTCGACTATTATTGCGAATATTGCAAAACGGTATTGGACTTTTATGTTCACATCAACCCATTCTACGTCCCCACAAAATGCCTGGAGGAGAGTGTGAGACACCCTGTATATCTCCTTTTTTCTTTTTCACTTTTTTATTCTCACCGTATTTATTTTTTTTACTGTTTTTCTTCTAATAGTTTAATATTTACTGCATTTAGTTCTCTTTCTCTGTTTCTTATCTTCCCCCTCTCCCCCTTCATCTTCCTCTTCCTTCCCCCCTCTCTCTCTCTCACATACAGGGTGTCCGAAACCTTTCTTGACACAAATCGTAGGAAAGTAGAACGGATTAAACAGAACAGAAAAATCAAATACTATTTTGCGAAATTCACAATAGTTTTCGAGTAATTAATTATTTTGTCTGAACAAATTAGCGTTTGGGCCGGCGCGCGACCATGATACACGCGAATCGCGGCTCGCTGTGTCGCTCTGCCCATAGCTACGATGTGTCTCGTAGCCATAGTTACCACAGTTACGAGATACAACGTAACTATGAGCGGAGGGACGCAGTGAGCGGCGATTCGCGTGTATCACGGTCGCACATCGGCCCAAGCGCTAATTTGCTGAGACAAAATAATTAATTACTCGAAAACTATTGCGAATTTCGCAAAATGGTATTTGATTTTTCTGTTCCGTTTAATCCGTTCTACTTTCTAACGAATTGTGTCAAGAAAGGTTTCGGACATTCTGTATATATTATATAAAGCAATATTTATTTATTATCGCGGCAGACAAAAACATTTATTTATTTATTTATTATTTATCCTTTTATTTATTCATTCTCTTACTCATATATTCCTCTTGTCTTTCCATCTCGCTCTCTTATGATTTTTTTATTGTCTTATCATTTATCTTCATTTTTATATCTTCTCTTCATTTCTTTTCACACATTCTTTCCTTTCTCTCTTTCTTTTATTTTCCTTTTCTTTTCTTTCCTCTTTTATCTTCTTATTATTTAATTTAGCTATAAAAAGTAAAACGACACAAAGTATGCAAGTAACGATAACAACGTACTTTTTTTTATGAATAACGAGTAATAATAATGAATTACTTTTAAAAAGTAACCTTTCCTATTTTACTGTCTTGCATCTCTCTGTTTTTTATCTTGCTTCGTTTCTGTTTTCTATTCCTTATCTGTCTGTATTATTTTCTTTCCTTATATTTTCTCTTTTTCTCTTTGCTTTCTGTACTTTCTTTCTCTCTTCCTTTTTTCTTGCCTTGTTCAAAAATAATAAAAGTACAAACAACATAAAGAGTATCCTAGTTCTATATCGTTATAAATTATCTTATGGGGAGGTTCTAGTCCAAAGGCCCGAAAATTAACGTAATTTCAGAAATTTTTTTTGAGCGAACGTAAATCTTTTTTAAAAAAACTGTTTGTGGCACTTATTAGTACATATTTGAAGAATGATACAAAATTTTTTC